CTAATCAGATGCAAGTCCCTGTACCTCGTCCTGCATTAAAAATAGATGTTGCTGTAGGAACAAAGGAGAGTTTGTACCTGTTGCTTTTTATACTTGGAAGTCTGAGCCTGATGCCAGAAGGCAGAAACTGGAACTCAGTATGTAAAGGATGAGAAGTATCAGCCATGATGGCCTTAGTTTTCCAAATGATTTGTTTTTTTACACAGTTATTTTGTAAATGTTAACACTCTTCCAAATGTTAACATTCACAGCAATCCTGTTCATCTCAGCACTTATCTGTCAGTAATGTTTTTTGTTTGTTTTCTTTTCCTTTTTAATGAGTTCTGAATGTTTCTACAGTAAGTTTTTTTTAGCCTCGGCTAAAAAAAATAAAAAATAAAAACAAAACTCTTTAGCCTTGTGGAAGAAATCCTGAGGCCCGATGAACCAAATTTGAACTGTTGTGGCATAGTGGATCAAGGTAGGTTTGGTATAAATAACATCACCATTTTTCTTCAGGTGAAATAAGAATTTTTTCTGGAGCAGAATGAAATTCTCAACAACTCACAAGTCGCAAAGCTGAATATGAGGGATTTTAGTATTGCTACGTGTCTGAGTACACACTAAACAAAAACAAGGGTTTTATTCAGAGAAAATAAAAAAGTAGTGATTGCCCAACAAGAGCCCCACAATAAGTCTTACAGGAAACGTGTAGGGAGAGAGAATATTACCATATGCCAGGATGTGGCTTCTTACTGAATAATAATACATAATACTTGTAGTACAAGTTGTGATTTCTTTTTCCCTGTGGAAAACAAAAGGCCCAAACTTTTATTTGAACCTATCTCAGTGTGGCATTTTCTGCTATTGTTAGGCCAAATTGGCCCACAGTCCGTCTTCAACACAAGGGGGAGCAAACAACTCGAAAAACCCAAAGAGCGGAGCAGTCAGGTGCAAGGTATTTTAATCAAAAGAGTCACAAGTAGTGGCACAATAAAAACTGTTCTTTATAAAATCCAATGTTCCATAAAAAAAAGGTCACCCGTTGAAGGCCACAGGTTGGGCTCCGCTTATTTTCCTGTTCGTGGCGGTGATCTACACTCTAAAAAGAAAAAAGTTGATCCAACTTAATTGAATTACTTCTGTAGGTAACAAGTAATTCAATTAAGTTGGATCAACATAATTTTTTTAGTTTGTTTAACTTGATAAATTTAGGTCAGTCTAACGCAATTTATTTACTTTATTTCATATACAAATGTTTAATCCATCTTACTTAAATTTATAGAAAGTCAACTCAAAAATGTAAGTTGTTCTAAGTTAAAAAATGAAACTACCCCAAAGTCGTTTATGCATATTTTGTACTTACAATAATGCTTAAATATAAATCACTTTTAAAGTATGTTTTAGCTTTTACAATAGCAGTAAAATTCCTTTACACTACCCAAAAATTCAACTTGGTTATAACAAATCTACACTGCACAAATAGAAAATGTTAAATTTATTGTGAAATCACAAACTTACAGATTTTTCACAACACATTTTGCACTGAACATACTACACAGATCTTTTGCTTGTCTGCTTAATTGAGTTAGCTTTTTAGTAAAACTGAACATGGGGTACCCCAAGTCCAGTTCTGGAGAGCTACCATCCTCCAACTTTCAGATGAATCCAATCTCCAAATAAAATTAAGTGCTCATTACTATGCCTCTGTCAGCTGAGTGTCTGCTGGTGTGTAAATTCAGCAAGGTGGTATTGAAATAGTCCATCTGACATTTGCACATTGATGGCTCTCCAGGACAAACTTTGGACATCCCTGTGTGAGCTTGTAGAATCCAGATGTATTCCTCTGAAAAACAATGTTTTTCAGATTTACCACAAGTCCTCCTAAAATAAAGGAAATCAACATTCTCAATCCCTAAACTGTTTTTACATAAAATGTAAGAACATGTGTGTCTGTTTTTAACATCTTCAAGAACAAACTGAAAACAAGCAATAACATCTACATGCTTTCAAACAAGGTTGTGGGGTCATGGCTTGCAGCATTTAAACCATCTCCGATACTTAAGTTAACTGACATCAGAACAGAATAGTAAACATTAAGCACTGCTTAATCCAAATTGAAAAAAAAATATGAAAAAACACTGTGAAAGTGTCTGTGAAACAATACTGCAGCAGCCTACTAATGCTGTGGCTTTAATATGCACAATGTCCCAAAAGAAATTCAAAAAGTTCAGTCCCTTGAGGTTAAGCTTCCAAAACACAGCCCCCTCATGTTCAAACAAAGACAGAAAATAATCTGTCATTTTGCACAACATACAATTGTCTTTACTGAGAGGTCTGAAGTCTTCCAAACAAATTCTGAACTTTAGGAGACATTTTGTGTTGGTCAAGTTGCATGAAGATTTTTTGAAACACTTCAAATGTGAAGCGCAGAGGCTTCGGATAAGCCAGGTTAAGGGCATATATCAAACCCAGAAGCAGGGCACATGCTGAGGCAACTGAAGTCAGGTCATGCAACACCTCCACTCCCTCAATGACAATGCCAATGTCTTCTGGGGATTCTTCCAATCCCTCTCCCTTCTTCCGAATCACAAATATTGCCAGGGTGAGTTGTTTGAGATCCATGGGCATCATCTCCACAGCTGCCCTGTAGTGAGATAAACCATATGTTAAACTTGAAGACTGTAACTAATCTGTCAGTTGACAAATAAAAGCCTTATAAATGCAAGCATTAAGTACAAGTGTACAGCTTGTGAATTGAAGAGAATCGTTTATGGCATCTGAAATATCCTTGATAAATTCAAAGTTGCATTAAAAATTGAATAACTCAAAGGGTGATTTTTAAGGTTTTTAGAAAAGATAATACAAGGATGTAACTTTATATGTGTTTTGTCATGCAGGTTTTAGCTTAAACAAATTCATAGATTATACATCAAAGCAGAATAGTAGTCCAAGCCAATGGTCATCTTAGGTTGGAAATCAACACAAAATGCATATTTCTGTTACTTATCAGATATTTTGGAGCTGGTATGAAAATAGCATGACTAAAACATTCTTATTAACTTGTTTGTTATATTGGTGAACAGGAAATGAAGTTGATAGTGAAGTTAGATAATGGTCTTTGCTGAATAGCAAAGCACACCACTGTTGGATTTAAGCAGGACATAACCATGTTAAATTTACAATTCTGACGCCAAATCTGCCTGATGTATTAAAACAGATGTTTAAATATAGAAAATGCAGGCCAGAAATAATTTAAAAAGGTACAAGCAACTGACATTGAATTTTTCAATTTTCCTGAATGGGTTAAGATGCGGCTTCAAACCTTTAAAAGAAACTTACACTGTATTCCTTAATAAGGTCTTCTGGATCCTCTCCAGAAAGGTGATGAGCCCTTTCAGAACACATTCCCTTCGAATCCCAATGTCCTCCACCTGGAGAAAATGTATTGTTATCAATATTCCATATCTCTGACAAGATTTCTGATGTAACAGTAATATATTCAAATACCATAATGTGCAGCCCACATGTCCACCGGGTTAATAATGCTCTCTGGACAGAAAGGTGTATTTTATGAAATTCATGAATGAACCACAATACAGACTAACTAAATCCACTAAAAATACATAAGACAGTTAAACTTGCTTTTCTTTGAGTGATATCACCTTTGCACAAAGTGTATCAAGTATTAATAATTAAAACAAAAAGTCTGAAAGTAATTAGAGACTTTAACTTCTTGTTTTAAATTAAAAATGGTAAATGTCCCCCAGTGTTCCTATCGATGATATCCATACCTCATCATAGATTCTCATGATTCCAGCTATTTTTGCACGTGTTGCTCCTCCCTTGGCTTTGATGACTTTAATCAGCTGACTTGAGAGCCTGTCCAACTGGGCAAAGAAAGTCTGCTCAAGGGGAAGAGCCATGAGTCTCAGGAACTCCGCATTAATCTGAGAAACAAAATAAAACTTATTTTGTATCTTACAAAATGACTTAAAGTAAATACTGACCAATCATTCCAAAATCTAAGTAAAAATCCTCAATCTGCATTACTACCTTTTCTGTTGGAACAGGGCAGGCCATCTGTCCTTGAAATCCTCTATGCCAGGTTCTTCATTCACCACCTCCTGACGCCTGTAGGCAAAGGTATGAGCCATTTTCTCCGCAATGACCTTGTCATTGTTCCTCCTTTTGATTGCTGTCAAGAGTTCAATTCTCTCTTTTTCCATACTTTCTTGTGTTTCTCCCACTGGAAAGGAAGGATAGAAGTTGGCTTCAGCTCGTCTTGGCTTCTTTATTTTTGCAGCGGGAAACACTGAAGTACTGGCTTTGGATTTAAGTGCGTTAACAGACAATTCTGGACATCCCTGAAACTTGAGTAGAGTCCTGTAGTTTCCCATTTGTACTTCAGCCTTTGTTTCCAACCGTAGCAACCATTGAATGAACCAGGCTCTTTTAAACATGGATGTTTTTTAATCAAGGCCTCTGCAACTACACAGAAACTGTGCGTCCTCTGGATAGGCTCTGTATCTGTAGATCTCTTTACTAATCTATTTAGGATGTCAGTCTTCATTCGTGGGGTGACTGTCAATATTTTGTTTTTTGCCTGATACTCAGAATTCCCCTTCTGTAGCTGACGTTCAGTGTCATACGAAAACATGGGAATGGGAAAGTTGGCTGGCCATTGTTTTGTTCGCGATGAGAAGGATTCAGGGGAGGAGAGGAGTATAGTGTCATTTGAAGCTAAAAAACTGCTGTCATCTGAGTGAACTGCAGAAGAAGATGGAGCTGTTTCAATGACATCAACAAACTGAACTGCTTCTTCTTGAATCACCTTGACTGTTCCCAAGTCCACAAGGTCAGAAGTTGAGCTGAGGTTGAAGAAGTCATTACCAAAGTCTTTGTCCATATATTGCAGTCTGATGTTGGTCTTTAAACCAAAGGTATCCTTCACCTTGCTGAGAAGATCATCCAGAGAATCTGTATGCCATTTGGAAGAGTCAGTTTTTCAGTGTTGCTCTCTCCTAGAATCACCTTCAGTCTTGCAGGTTTTGAACTTGCCATGGCAATCTGAAAAAAGGGCATAAAAGATGGCTCCACTGGATGTAGAGGAGCAACAGCTCTAATCTCAGCCTCTCCGAGATGACTGAGCTTCTGACCCCATGTTGAGTGAGAGCTCATCAACCCTTTGGAGGAAATTAATTTCATCGTTCTTGACCACCTATTATTCCTTTTACTTTAAAATGATGTTATTTATCGAAACTATTTTGAATTAGTTTAGAGTATATGTTTTTCATATTATTGATACAATACAGCATATTAACTAATAACTTAACTTTTTTTTCTAAATTAGAAGCTTAGTGAAGCAAATATGGCTTACCTTCTATGGTCTGATGATGCTTGGCTCCAGGCCTGGAGAGTGGGAAAGAGAAATTAACTCAAAGTTCCTACAAACATGAATTGCTTATTGTGTTTTTGCTTTTTTAAGAAAAATGACATCTTATGGATTATTAGCGCAGTCAGGATATTATGCGTTTTATATCATTTCGTCAGTAAGCAGGCTGACAATTGGAACAAATGGCTTCCCTGACTGCAGCTCACGGTGACAAGTGACAAGCAGAGCGCAGTTGCGTCACATTAAATTAGTTTTGCGTATAACACTAACACCTCCGTAACTGTACGTTAAGATTACCCATAAAAAATCAACCTGTCCAGTAGTTCTTGTTATAAAATCTGGCCACCGCTGCAGTGCATTAGCTGCTCCCACACTTTGACCCAGTCTAGCTTCCGACCGGAACACGCCAGCAGTTCTCGGTCCACCAGCACCAGCCCTGAACGTCTCCAGTCTAAATCACATTTCATGTTTTCACTACATACCCGGCTTCCAGCTATTTAAGTTCTTTAGGGTCAAATAAAAAGTACACACTCAAAATAAACGTTCACTAACTAACAGAGCAGTTAAGTTCAAACATGCCAAATAGCGCGGCAAATTACAACTAGCAAATGTGTTCAAAGCAAATAACTGATGATACTTCGACGTTAAAAACAGTTAACTGTTTCAAATTAAAGGTAGAAAAAGTCATTAATATTTTTAACACCGTTTAAATAATATTTTGCCATGATGTGTAGAATACTTACTGTTTTACAATCCGGTGGACAGTCGATGGTCAGAAGAAATGGCGGCTGCACAAGCGGTCGGTACAAGAAGGGATCTGTCTCGGGCAAAGCTTGCGTAATGACGTCAGACGTAAAAACTGCATTCAACTTAATTGGTTCACGTCAACTCAAAGTTAACCGTTTGTTTTAGATGAAATGTGTGTCTTTTAAGTTAATTGAACTCATGAAAGTAAGTTGACATAACTAAAGCCAAACAATTAAGTCAGGTTAATGTAAAAAGGCCATAACATTAACTACAGCCCAAATACACTTTTTAGAGTGTATGTGTAGCGCACACTACAGCCGGCCGCGCTCCACCACCGCTCCACTCCTCGGCGTGCCACGCCCCCTTACGTTTCGGCCCAACTAGAAGGAAAAAACAGGAAAGCGCCAGCATCCCCACACCAGAACTCCGTCGGAAGACGTGCTTTTTGCCAGCACTCTGCAGGATCAGTTCGACCAGAAAGAAACTTTACTTACAGGCGCGGGCAACATTTACATTTAATCTGCCCTGATTCTCTGTACTGGGCCGTCTGTCCAACTCCCGATGGCTTGTGCCGGATGAGCGGCTCCGTCTGCTCCCCACGTGTCAGTTCCCGTGGCTGCAGAACCAGTTCTCTCTCTTCTTCCTAGCCAAGCTCCCTTTATTTTGGCTCTAATCAGCTCTGCTGACACCTGTCTGGGTGGCCAATTAGTGCGCCCCGCCTCCCGAGACAACCACCTTCAGTCCAGGGTGTTTGGATTGTCAAAAGGGAAAAGGATAAGAAAAGCAACAACCCAAAACAATATACATGCAAAGCAAACAAAAAAGCAATAATAAACCATAAAAGAAAACAATCATTTTCCCCTGTTCAACACTATTCTAATGGATTTTGGGTTTTCCTGGAACAAGACCGTTAGTTTCCAACAAGTCATATGAAAATAAATGTGGACAAGCCAGGACAAACATCACTTCCATGTCTAATATTTACCTTCATAGGATGAAAAAAGAGGCTTACTGTGTGACGACAAAAGACGATACCAATAGTGTAGTTGTCCAAAATAAAATTAATGATTGCTGAATAGGATGTAGAAATACTCTGATTCATTTTGGAACAATAATGCTTTAAATGACAAATGAGGCAAAAGATTCCAAAATCCCCCTGAATGCAATCAGGGGGATTTTCCCTGTGGTAAATAACTTAAAATTTAAGACAAAAAAATAATCCATCCACATTTTAAATAATGGATATAAACAACACCACATCTGTAAAACTGATGGGTTTGTACATTCCTCTACAAATACCTGTTGGGAAAAACGCATAAATCAAGGTCCCTCCCTCGGTATGTCAGACTGTTTTGTTCTCAAAAGAATAAATAACAGATAAAGTTATTCATCTAAAACTGTTTGATCAAACAATATTCCTATGCTAATAAGGTCAGCAACTTTCAGAAAAGAAATACATCAAGGAAGGCTCTTTTGTAAATATTGCACTAATGTAATTTATAAAAGATAATTACCAGCCTGCTAACAGATGTATATACGAGTAGAATAAAACATGAGGACATAACATGAGCAGCTGCAGCGACATGTTCACATTATGCATCAAACTCATAGATATTCCTTTAAATCTGGTTGTTTCAGCCTTTGATGGAAATTCTTTGATGGTCCCCGCTGGACAGATTTCATGTTAATTTTACAGATGTGTCAATCTCATTCCAGCAACATCTGCTTAAACTTATAACACAGGAGAAATTCAGTTTGATATCACCTTATATAAATTCCTCATGTGTTGTACATACATTTTTTACCCATTGAAGTTGCCATTAAAACATGTCTTATACACTCACTGGTCCTGTCCAGAGGTACATCTTGCTAGACTCATTGTATGGCAGCAACGTTGTGGACCAAATGTAAAGGTGATCATTGGAGGTGATGTTCCTAGTTTAAAGGTAACTGAACTCAGCAAACCGACTAAACAGGCTGATGGCAACAGTAGAGAATTTAACACTAACTTAAAAAACTCAAGAAGTCCTTATGGGTAGAAGTTTGATTGCTGGAGTGATAACCAGAGGAGTTAATGAGCAAATGAGAGACCAGAGAGAGATACTGAGGGAAGTTTGGGCATAACTATTATTTTTCATGCCCTAGATTTTAGACATTAGACATTCCTCAGATTTTGTAATATAAGCATCACTAACCCCACTTCCTAGAATCCAGGTCCGAGATATTAAAAGCAAACAAAGTTGTCCTGACATCACAATACACAAAACATTCAGAATAAACATTTTCTGTTCACATCCTCTCTTAATAATAATAAATACAATTATCAAACAAATTTTGGTACCAATAACAATTTTTAATTCATGATTTTATTGTTTTGTTTCAGTTCCACTATAGCTTACCACAAAAATATGAAAGAGAAGGCAATGGGAAAAACGACCAAACCTCAATTAGAAACTTCAAACACATTTTCAGACTGTATATTTATTCATATCTTTTGTAAGAGAATAAGTAAACATTTCTTGCTTAAGCCTTGATATAAATTTGACAGGAGCTGCAACTTATTTCAGGATTAACTTGTTAAGGGTAACAGGCATTCATCAGCTAGAAGCATCATTAGTCATGGTGTTTGTTGCTGTAACCTATTATCAGCCAATTTTTAGTCAAAGTTAGATTTTCCCACTATCTGCAACTTCTAATGTCAATCTGTTTCTTCTGGTTTGTATGAAGTTCTTTTCTAACTGTATCATCGGATACCCAGCATTGCTTCTTGAAAACATAGGTGAAGAGATGGGTCAGCAGAGAAGGGTGCTTGATTTCACACTACATAACTGGACCAAAGATATTGTTGGTTTATTGAAGGAGCACCTTAAGGGGCCCTTGAGAAAGGTCACCAGGGAGACAAAATGCAGAGTCCGTGTGCTCAGGAGGGGCCAGTTTGTCACTTTGGCGAAGTTCACTGAAGCAGTTAAAAGGCTGCCTGGCAGCAGGGCACCAGCAGTGGACAAAACTCAAACTGTGATGCTGGAAACTCAGAACATCATGACACTGCTGGGTTGACATGCCCTCTGAAATGTCACACAGAGGACAAGGACAACATCTGTGACAGAAAGGCCTTTTCACACCAGTATCTCTTACTGCATGCCGTTATCTGTTATGGTGTTGATAAAAACAAGAAATATGAACTAATCTAGATTCATGGGTGTTGTCTGCAGTAATCTCAATGTAGTACAGCTCAGGAAGTTGAAATACTTTGGAGCAATGCTTCTTGCTGTTTGGTGTCTGAACAGCCGCCAAGAAAGGAGCCCTATTTATTTTCCTTGACACTAATTGACTGTACCAAACTGAGAAAGAATCATTGTAAATGTTATCTCATGCTCAAAGCGAGCATGTGTGTGTGTTTGGTGTATGAGTGATCTAATTAAGCAATTATAAGTGCTTTAAGAGGGGGGTCTCAAGTATTCACATAGTTTAGCTATTTGCAGGCAGCTGTGGTCCCTAAGCCTGGCAAATACTGGAGGTTCACTGCTGAGGGCTGAACCTGTTAGCAATTTCACAGATAAAAGGCTAAAAATCATGGTAGATGTTTCACTGCCTACTATCTATAAGAAATCTGAATTACAGAAAATATAATTATCACAAACTTTTAAAATATGCTGATCAACAGAGGGAAGTAATAACATTTGTCTAAAAACCAAAATCAAGTTTTAAACATAAAACAAATGTTAATCAGTGTCCTTGATTGTTTTGAATGACATTTCATATCAAATTATTTGACATGTACTTGATTGGTTTCTTTTTGATTAATTCAGGTGCTTTTAGACCAACAGCAATGCAGGAGACTGATCTAAAAAAACACTGTTTGGCAGACAGTGTTACTAA